CCGTCCAGTTTAAGTTCTGACATATTGAGCTGAACTCAGAGCACTGTGACCAACAGAGAACCTGCTTACTTTGGCCAAGGAACCAAACTCACAGTTTTAGGTAAATATTTCAGAGTTTTAATGAATAATACTTTGACTAGAGCCTCTGTCGGCTTTATGAAGTTAAATCTGAGAGGCAAACAGGTTCATGTTCAGTATTGCTGCACTGTGACAACGCCAACGAAGCTTACTTTGGAAAAGGAACAAAACTGACAGTTTTAGGTGAGTAAGAGATGTATTAAAATGAGCTAAAACCACCAGTTTTCTACAACGTTAGCCTAAAGAGCCTTGTAGTTATACCTGAAGTTCAACTCTGCACTTTTTGACATTAAGCTGAAGCTCTGTGCCAACTTTGAAGCTTATTTCGGTCAGGGAACAAAACTGACTGTTCTAGGTGAGTAAAACACAAAAACTTCACTTTACTGACTCACATAAAGTACGTCTTACAATGTAATACATTTATATGTTTTGCCTTTGTAAGAAATATATAATAAAAGTAAATCTTTAGAGTTAATGAAAGAGGAAATAGTGTTTCAGATAAAACAGCCTTAAAGTGTAGGATAAGCAGCAGCTTAGCTTGTTTTGAGCGCTGATCTGCTGCACTGTGACTCTGGTGTTAACGAAGCTTACTTTGGAAGTGGCACTAAGCTAACGGTTTTAGGTGAGTAACAGGTTAAAATAATGATAAGTGAAAAAATTGAGCTATTTTTGAAAGAAACTTACTTTGAAAGTGGGACAAAGCTAACTAGTTTAGGTGAGTAGCACCTAAACCAAAGCTTTAGCTAAGCGCTAATTCATGTTCTGCTTGTTTTTGTTGGAATGAATCCAGGAGACGTTGCTGGTTTTTATGACCTAAATAGATGAATAAAACCCTCTAGCTTCAAATATTTGTACACTAGTTAAAAACCAGGATCTACTTGTTGGTTTTAAATATATATAAAATAAATAAATAGTAAAAGAAGAGAAGGTAAAAGCTGAATGATCAGCCATTATAAGCAGTGATCTTTAATGCTGTGCCACTGGTGGCTATGAAGCTCACTTCGGTGGAGGAACAAAGTTAACAGTTTTAGGTAAGAGAGTCTGCAAATATTAGAGAAAAGCTGCAAATTATTCACAACGATTCTTCAGATTATGAAGATTCTACCTGATCGGCTTGCTTTGAAATGACAAATACAGAATAACTTTAAGAAGGTAGGAGACACAGAGAGGCAGGAGGACGAGGTTTTGTCGCTGTTCAGAGTCTCTGTGCTCCTACGATCAGGCTTACTTTGGAGCTGGAACTAAACTCACCGTTTTAGGTAAGAAAAGTCTGGAGAAACGAAGCCGACGCTCCAACAACCTGGTGGTGATTTTGTTCTTGAGTTATTTGAAATAATTACACTACACTTGTTGAAATAAAAGTGAAATTATGGTAAATAATTAGACTTGCCGAGTAAAAAAGGGTAAGAGAATTTGTTTTAAAAGTTCATTTATGTGAGTAGGAACAGGTGTTCTCCACGTTCGTTCAGCTAAACCATGTTTGGCTCGAAGCCCAGATTATTACCCTGTCAGTTCTTATCAGCTCTGTGAAACACTGTGACTCCCAGTCTGAAGCTTACTTCGGAGCTGGAACTAAACTCACTGTTTTAGGTAAGAAACACAAAAAATATTCACAACAAATCAACATGAAAAAAGATCAGATGTAAAGGAAAATTAGTTTGGAAGTTCTAAAAAACTAAATGAATAAAAAACATTTAATCTTCGGCTCTAGTGTAGATGTAAAAAAAAGAATAAAAACTAACAGGAGTTGGTGAAAGAATTAGTTTTTGGTTTAGTTTTTCTACAAAAGTTGTTTAGTTCAAGTGTAAAAAAGCTTGAAGTTGGCAGCAACTTTTCCTGCAGCCATTTATCAGTGTGAACAACTTCGATCCTGCTTATTTTGGAGCTGGAACTAAACTCACCGTTTTAGGTAAGACAAAAATTAAAAACAAAAATTGTAGCTCCTGATGGGATCTAAATGTGAAGACAAAATAATACGTTATTTTCCTGATCATTCATCGTTAATAAGTCAGATAGTTGTTTAAAAGATGTCAGATTTATGATTTGTTCCCAAAAGAACAACGTTAGAATCAAAGTGAATTCTTGTAAAAAAAAAAAAAAAAAAAAAAAAACAAGAATAAAACTATAATGTCAGCGTTCTGGTTCATGTAGAAAACATAAACCAGAGAGTGTTGGGTTTTCTACCTGTGACTGAGTTCTGTGCTCTGAGTCTCATCCTGCTTATTTTGGAGAGGGAACCAAACTCACAGTTTTAGGTAAGATCACAGAAGAAAATATTAATAAAGCATCTGGTTATATGGAGAAAACCTGAAATGATTTCTAATAGTGTTTCGGATTTTAACCATGCAGATCAGAGTAGTAGTAACTTGTTTTATCTCATCTTTTTTTAAATAAACAGAAAATGGAATGAAAGTCACTGAACCACAAACGGTGAAAATCCTTCCACCTTCACCCCACGAGTGCAGAGACCAGAAGAAGAAGAAAGGGGAGAGGAGGAAGACCCTGGTGTGTGTGGCGTCTGGTTTCTACCCGGATCATGTCACCGTGTTCTGGCAGCTCAACGGCCAGAAGATCACTGATGGTGTGGCGACCGACGCCGCCGCCAAGAGGAATGAAATCACAGGACTGTACTCCATCACCAGCAGGCTGAGGCTGCAGGCCAAGACCTGGTTCAATCCTGACATTGAATTCAGTTGTTACGTCACATTCTTTAATGGAACAGACTACAACAACTACAGCAAACTTATTAAATGTACGTAACTTTAGAGAAACAAAACATTTTTAAGTGACTTTTTATGCTTCAGGTTTAGTAATGGTGTCATCTTTTTCTTTGTTTTCCAGCAAAAGAAATGGATAGAGGAATGACACGAGGTAAAAAACAAAATAAATAAATAAAAAATCACTATGTATTTTTATGCTCCAACAGGTGAATCTGGTGTTAACAGGTAGGCCATTAGCCTCCACAGCTCTAAAGTTTCTCTATCTCCCCAACAGAAAAATACCTGACAATTACCCAGAATGCCAAACTCTCCTACAGCGCCCTGATCCTGAAGAGCTGCCTCTACGCCGCCTTGGTCTGCTTTCTGGTCTGGAAGCTTCAGGTTGGTCCTGCAGAGTCTGCAGCTTTAACATCTCCATCAATATTAAAGAGATTAATGTGGGATTAAGTATGTCTTTTTGTTGTTCTTGTTGTTTTGCAGAGTTCACCAAGAAAACAGAAGAAGTGAGCGCTGAACTGACGGCTGAGCAAAGTGACAATCTTCAGGAGAAACTCTCTCTTTCTGGTTCTGTAAATAAAATCTCCAGAACACAAACACACTCTGTGTGTGTTTGTGTTTTATTTGATTTGATCTGATGTGCTGCATGATTCTATTCTAAACACCGTGATAGTCTGAAGGTTTTTGGAACAACGGAGATTGTCGTCATATTGTCACCTTCCTAAAGTAATGATCCAAGTTTTTGTTTTGTTTTTTTTTTTTTGCCAGAAGTGATTCCCCCTAACCCTAACCCCCCTCCCCCCAATAATCTTTTGGCGAAAAAAACCCACCACCTCTTTTTGACAAAAAATGACTTGGGCCTTAATTTTACCACGATGATGATAAAGTGCTCTGTAAAGATTCCCTGACTTGACTTTAAAAGAGATGAAAAATCGTCCAAATCTACATAACATTTACGTATATTCTTGTTAAATTATAAAAGTGCTTATGTTTCATATCCTTTTTATTATTTTTGCAGCTTTCTCAATAAAGATGTATGAACTACATATTAGGATTTGCATCTCTGTCATTATTTTCTGCATTTTCCACATTTCTCAGCACTTCTTACAGATACAATTTCAGACGTGTTTTCTGTGAAGTCAGATTCATTTTTTCCATCACAAAGTTGAAACAACTCAACTCAGGTTTGAGTCATAAGATTTTCCACATTTTTTTAAATTTTTTTTCCATTTTGAATCTTTTAAAAGGTAAAAAAAATGCTGTATTTAAATTTCATGGAATGATTAACAGCTTTAGCTTTACTTTCATAGTAGTACTTTTTTCATCCTCTTTGCATGAACAAAGAGAGATGGTTGTCACGGTTTCCATCCTCTGGATCTTTGTCAGAGAGAGCGTTCTGCATGTGAGAACAGGAAGTCAGGGTTCTGATCGGAGCAGAGAAGCAGGTCAGAGCTGCTGCAGAGCGGCAGGATGCGGTCGCATGGCGGCCTGCAGCTCCGCCTCTCTGCTGAGAAACAACTGAGGTGAAACCTTCGACCTTCACCGCAGCATCCGGCTCTACCGTCGCACCTGCATCACCCCCCCCCCCTCTGCACTCCCCACGCATTCACACTGCTGCCCTCTGAGCAAACAGCTGCTGCCACCTCCGTTTCTGTGCCAACTGAAACTAAAAACCGAACGGGCGTCTAACAACAAACAGCAGCTGCTCATTGTGATCTGGAGCAGAACGTTTGCAGCTAAGAGCATTTATGTTGAGGGAAGCTCCGTTTATTTTTTCGGTCTCGAAAGCACCTGCTCAAAAACAAAAAACAAACAAAAAAAAAAGAAAGAAGAAGGAATGTTTATAGTGATGACATTTTTATTGCACTATTTACCTTCTTTATATAAAAAAAGTTACAGAAAGACAAAATAAGAACTTAAATTTAATCCAAAAATCTTCGTTTTGTTCCATTTATCTGAAAATCATGTTTTTATTCACCCAGTCAGACAAACAGGAAACGACAACTGTGAAGCAAAAACAGCCTCATTGTTGATAACATCTGTTTGGATCATATTTCTGCTTCTCCTTTGTAAAAAAATAAATAAATAAAGGATGTACACAGATAAACTCCAAGAAGTTTTTATTATTATTCTAATATTTGTTGTCATAAATACTGAAGTAAAAAAAAGTTTTTATTTAATGTCACAACTTGGAAATATCATAATTGGTGTAAAACAGCTGTTGTTAAAATTCCTGACTGGTTGGCTTTGTAAGAAATGTTATACATTTAAACTAAAATTGTCTAAATGTTTTCTGAACAGAAAATCAGATTTTGTTCTAAATCTACTTATCTGGTTAAATAAAAGTCAATAGAAATTCAACAAAGTGATTTCGTCATTTTATCGATCAAAATCGAGGAGCTAACGTAGCTGAAAGGACACCCTGCTAGCTGTAGCTCAGCAGTGAGACGGAGTGAACAGGATGTCGTTACCAGCAGCTTTTATCCACCGTTCATGTTTGAGTTGCGACATGAACGTTGATCAAACTGCATCGAAACATATAGGACATTAACAGTATCAGTTCATGTCGTTGAAAACAGCTGAAATTAACTAAACCTGAGGCATCTGTCTGACTTACTGTCTGTACAAAAACCAACCAAATATGGTTGGAAAAATAGTTCTGATCAGAATTTTACTTTATATGAAAAAAAGATCTACTCCTTTAAAAAGATGCATATAAAAGCTGATTCTGTTAATTAATCACTAAAGAAAAATGGAGATCCATGGTTTACTGCCCAACCGTCCCTCTCAGCATTGTTGCATTTTCAAATGAAGTCGTTTTTATCTCCCTGACTTCTGACGACCAACACTCACCTGCTCCAGCTGGATGTCATGCTTTCATATTTATGATTTAAACAGAAAGACATGAATTAATAATTACATTTTCAAGTTGATCGGAGGGTCTAAAAGCTTTTAAAGTATGTTAAGTAATAAAAAAGCATGATTTTTGAATAAACCAACAAGACTAAAAAAGACCCAATTGTATTAAAATCAAAGGTGGGTGATTTTGGAAACATTTTCCCTATAAGATTAGAGTAGCTTAATAATACATAAGATAATTTTAGTTTTTTTTTTTTTGTTACACATCTTTACCTTGGCTACCAATAAGTTTAGGGACAGTCATTTCAACCAGCAGTTGGAAACATTTGTCACGTTTAGCGACCCCTTGTGGTGCAAACTGTGTGCTGCACCACATTATCAAACTTCAAATCAGTTCAATTTTTAAACCAAAAACAATGAGTGAGTTGAGACATAAACAGCATTAATGGCTGTTAACCAAATATAACGGCTTTATTTAATATACTTACATTTTAAAAAAACCTAATTCTACTTTTATTGTTAAGTAGAGATTCCTAGTATGAATTTTGCGTATACACTTAGGTATAGTAGAATTTAATAACCATTCTTGCCCATAACTGTACATAATAGTAGATCAACCCATTATCCATTCTCATGTGTCTGTTTAAAAGGGCTTTAAGATAAAATTTCAACTTTCTGAATTTTAAATCCATTCTGGTACGTTATTACTGTATTTCAATTATAACCTAAAGTAAAATAAGAAATCATAAAATCCACATGTTCATGTTCTGACCAACAGATGGTGAAATTTATCAATAGGAATCTCGATCTTGTTAATATCGGGAGCAGTTTGAAGCGCTGTCAAACAGACAAATAAATAAAAATCATGTTCAGAAGCAGGTAAGTGCGCCACCTGCTGGCTGAACCAGGAATTCAGCTGTCAATCAGAGCTAAAAAAAATCTCTGAACTTTGATTTTTTTTTTAAGGCACTTTATATAAAAAGTAACATAATAGACTTTACTGCACCTGAATATATGTAACCTGTGCCTAAATATTACGCAATCCAGTCGTTATTGTTGTCAAACTTAATACTGTTGTGATCCGGAAAGAAAAATGTGTGATATTCTGATTTTTAAAAATCTGAACATTTTGAGGTCAAAGTATTACATCTGAAATATAACCTGAGTACTTTGGTGACCAAACAAGTCAAATAGTGTTTTTTTCTACATGTGAAAAATGTTAGTTCTGTGAACTGTAGAGGGCTCTACAGTACCAAGTTCTCAACAGACAAATAAATGGCAGATTAAAATACACACACACACACACACAATTCTGTCATACAGTGAAAGTCACATGTCTCTCCCACCTCCTGCTCATAAATACTGAACACTCCGATCGCCATGAAACATGGAAGCTGTCAGACTGAAACAAAGCTTCTTCTTGTTATCGGTCTTTCTGCTCTGGCTATCAGGTAAATAAAAATCATCCATTAAATCTGTTTTTAAGCTTGGATCAGAGCTCCGTGTTTATGCTTTTTAGGTCAATTTTTATCTAAAAAATGTTAATAGAAAAACAAGAAAAAAATGTCTACGATGGTATGTTAGGGCCATTTTAGATTGGCAGAGTAAATTTCCGTCAAAAAACAAAACAAAACAAAAAAAACTTGGAAATCTCTGAGATTCAAAAAATCTGAAATGTTGAGATTAATCTCAAAAATGTTCTAGAAAAAAAAGAGCTAGTTTTGCATTTTGAAAAGTCAAACATCTTTGACATTTGGAAATTTCCTGAGTTTCAAAAGTTGATTTTTTTTTTTTTTTTGACTTTTCAAGCAGAAAAATTCCAAGTTTTTCTTTGAATCATTTTTGAGATCGCAAACTTTTTTTTTTTCTTTTGACAGAAAGTTACTCCTCCTCTCTTTCCATCTACAATGGCCCTAATGGGCCGCCATAACACTCATATTAACCTTCCATAATTTACACCCAGGCTGTCCTGCTAGCGGCGAGCCGGTGACCCAGACTCCCACGCTGTGGACAAATCAGGATGCCGACGCCACGATGCAGTGCAGCCACACAAAGGGCAGCACGTACCGCCTGATGTACTGGTACCAGCAGCTGCCGGGTCAGAACATGAAGCTGATCGTTTCCACCACGGCGTACAGCCCACCCGAGTACGACCCGGGCTTCACGGAGGAGAAGTTTCCGGCAGAGAAGAAGAATGCGGAGACGGGATCTCTGAGGGTGAAGAAGGTGAAGCCTGAAGACAGCGGAGTGTATTTCTGTTCTGTCAGTGAGACACAGTGAAGCAGCTGATTGAAGGAGCTGAACAAAAATCCAGCTGAAGCACAGGGACCGAAAAATATTGTTTTGAGCTAACTGTAGAGGGCGCTAATATCACTAATACCTTCTAGGTGAGGTAACTGACTGAAATGGGATTTTTTTTTACTGTATTTTTTCCTCTATATGCTATCAAATATACATTACTGTATACATATCACTGACAATAAAATACAGCAATTCAACATGACAAATGTGACCAAGTTAAAGACTGTAATACCTGCTTTCTTTTTTCAGGTTTTGCTTTATTTGGTTGCTGGAGTTGTTTATTTCTTTTAAAGAATGAAATCCATGAAAAAATAATGGTGGCCAACAAAAGTTGTGTCATGGAAAAAAGAAAAGAGAAGCTTCAGGATGTAATGGGCTAATAAGCATATTTTGTGTTTTTATTTTATTATGAAACTTTTTTTTAGGTTTTTCTTCACTTATTACAAAAAATACAGAGACTATATTATGTATTAAACAATATGGAGTTGGCTTGAATCAGATGTTGCTGTGACGATCCCATTTTGTGTCTCCTCCCCTCTCATTTGATCCTTTAACATGAGTTCAGCTTGTCAGACGCAGCCGAGACAAATAGGAAGATAAAAACATGATCAGCATCATCATCTCTCTGCTGCTGCTCTGCTTCTGGGGTAGAGCGCTTTATTTCCTTGCCGTTGTATAAATCAAATTAATATCTTTGTCCAACTATTCTTAATTTAATCTTTTTCTCAATCCAGATGCGTCTCTGAGCAAAGATGTGCATCAGGATCCTCCATGGACACTTCAAGTTCCTCAGAGTTCTGTAACAATCAGCTGCAGCTATTCAATCATCGGATACAACCAGATTCTATGGTACAAAAACCCAACCAGCGACTCCACCCTCGAGTTAATTGGTTTTGTTTACTACACCAGAGTAACTCTTGAGAATGAGTTCAAAGATCGTTTCAATATAAGTGGAGACGGCACGAAGGAATCTGAGCTCCGTGTGGATAAACTGCAGCCAGAAGACAGCAGCAGGTATTACTGTGCAGCTGGTCGACACAGTGGCTCAGTTTGTGTCTGTCTGCTACAAAAACCTTCTGTGATGATCCAGCAAATAGACACACACCGAAGAGGAACACAGCTGCAGCAGAGAGCAGTGAAGTACAGCAGCAAATCAAAGATGGAAGCAAAAAGAAAGGGAAAAAAAGAAACCCTTCTTCCTGTGCCAACTGTCAGGGCAGGAAGTCGGTCTGGTAGATGTAATAATCCTCGTCCTGTTCAATCCTAAGCAAAGTGAAGCTCAGAAGAATTAATCACGCAAATATGATAATCGCTTTTTGCCACGAGTAAGAAATAGGGGCTAGCATTTATCGTATCGTTTATCATTTATCGTGATAATAATCTGGATGCATCATTGTCATGATGAATTTCATTTAATGTTTAAAATCCTCCCCCAGTTGCCAGGATTGTTAGTTTCAAGATTTTCTCCACTGTTTATTCAACAAGAGTATTATTACAGATCATTAATTTTGAAAATATGATTAAATGATGTTACTGTGATACAAATCACACTTCTTTGTGCGATAAAGAAGTGTTACCACTTCAAATTCAAATACATTTGCCATGTGTACACTAGGGGGAGCTCCTGTCCCATTTTAATGCCAGAACTTTGTCAAATACAGTCATGTTCAAAAATTGAGAATAAACGTCCCGATGAGTCTCGCTTGTTTGATTGAAGTATATTTTCAAGCATATTTTTCATTAAGTCTGCATTTACAAAATTTGCTGGTCTGATTAAATATTCTAAGGATAAATGTCTTTTCATCAGCTGTTAGCAAAAAAAAATCATTATTAAGAGAATTAAAATTCTAAAACATAAGTTTTTGTCTAATTCATACAGTGTTTTTCATTTGGTCTTTATAACTTTATAATTGTGTGTTTTTATTATGTAAAGCACTTTGAACCGCCTTGCTGCTGAAATGTTCTATACAAATGAAGAGAACTGATCATGGAGTTAAGAAATAAATGAACTTTTAAATCATTTTTTGAACGAGTCGGTATACTAAAAACTGGAAATGGCCTGAAACTTGCAGTTTGAGTTTCGCAGCGAAAAACGTGCAAGCAGAATATAAAGAAAATGTTATATTTCTGTCTAGCGAGTGAAAACAGTGACGCAAACAGACGGAGGAGCTGAACATGAACCTCTGCTCACTGTCCACCTCGGCTCCAACCACACACAATGTGACAGTAACCAGACCCTCCCATCTCTAGTGATGTCAGAGCTCCATCACTCTGAGTTCAGTCGGCTCACAACACAGTCATGATCCCAGCTGCTGTCATAATCTCTGCAGCTCTGCTCTGGCTTGGAGGTACGTCACGGACTTCACGTCCATCATTATGTTGCTATTGGTCTCGGTTTTTGTTGGATTTTCTGTAACATGATGTGATATCTGACTGCTGCAGGTCCAACAGACAGCAGTGATGTCACTCAGACTCCTCTGCTGTGGGCCAACCAGAGTCAGTCTGCCACCATCAACTGCAGACAAAATATAGATGTTAATCATAACCAGATGTACTGGTACCAGCAGCTGCCGGGTCAGAACATGAAGCAAATAGTTTTCACCACATCGTACAGCCCTGCACAGTATGAAGAAGGCTTCAGCAAGGAGAAGTTTGAAGTAGAGAACAAAGACGCTTACAGTGGATCTCTGACAGTGAAGCAGCTGCAGCCTGAAGACAGTGGAGTGTATTTCTGTTCTGTCAGTAAACACAGTGATGCAGCCGATTGAAGAGCTGCACAAAAACCCCAGAGACAGTGAAAGAAAACTTGTTTTAACCTGTAGGTGGAGCTAAAGAGCAGAGTAGACTGTTTATATTACCGTGTTTCCCCGAAAGTAAGACGGTGTCTTACTTTCTTTTTATCCCCAAAAGCCCCACTATGTCTTACTTTCGGGGTATGTCTTATATTGGAAAAAAATTACATACAGCAGATGATACCCCAGTATGCCAGTGTGTATGTTTTACTGATGTATGATTAATACTGCGTGCATTACCCTATTTTAAGCAGGAGGCGGCAGTGACAAGTGCAGGGGACGGCGCGGTGACGTATGGAGAGGGGGACGGCGCAGGCGTGGGCAGGAGGCGGCGCTCATTTGGATCAGACGGAGGCGGCAGATGCGGTGACGTATGGAGAGGGGGACGGCGCGGGCGTGGGCAGGAGGCGGCGCTCATTTGGATCAGACGGAGGCGGCAGACACGGTGACGTATGGAGGGGGGACGGTGCGGACGTGGGCAGGAGGCGGCGCGCAGCTAGATGAGAGGCGTTTCCCCGAAAAGTAAGACATACGTCTTACTTTCGGGGTACGGCTTATATTAGCCGACCCCCCTGAAACTCCCGATACGTCTTACAATTGGGGGTGTCTTACTATCGGGGAAACACGGTATATACACACATGTACATCTGTAAATCTTTAACATGTTTCCATCTATTAAAAAAATTTAAAAAAGGGCTCAATGTGATGTATATTCGTAGATATTTCTGAGTAAAAAAATAACTTCAAACACACTTAATGGCCACAATGATAACAGTTTTCAAAGAACGTGCCTGGCATCTTGATCCAAGTTCTGTTTGATTGTATATCTGTGGTTTGATATTAGGATCATTTCTGTTCAAGTGTGTGTGTGTGTGTGCGTGCGTGCGTGCGTGTGTGTGTGTGTGTTTGGTCAAACTTTAAATAGTTTAATGGATATTCAGACTCTGTGAAATACATTTTAATTGTGCAACTTGACCCATTTTTGCTTGATTGTTGCACTGGTAGGTCACTGAAAAACACGGTGGTGACCGACGTAAACAGTGCATGAGATATATTCATAATTCAGCCATGACGCTCACAATCACAATCTATCAGCCATCAGAGGAGAAGTCGGTGTCTTATTCAGGTATTAGAGCAACGAGGCCCTTATCAACACCCCCGCATTTTATTGTTTATATCCGGAAATTTCACACATGCACACAACACCGAATGGTAAAAAGATTATATTTTTACATGCTATCTGTAGCTACGCTGCTGCGGTAGAATAATTCCATTAACTAAATAACACCTACATCTTTCATTAGTTTAGTGTGGTGCGCCACCGCGAAGGGGAAAATAACGCAGAAAACCTGTCGAAGAACAACTCAGAACCACTTTTTTTCCTCACTTTGTGTCGGCTAAGCTTCATGCAAATCACAGCAGTTTAATACAATCATGTGGAACCAAAGAGAAAAAGAGGAGCTCTTTTTGAGGATCTGTGACAGGAGTCAGAGATAAAAGATAACATTTCTGTCTAGCGAGTGAAAACAGTGACGCAAACAGACGGAGGAGCTGAACATGAACCTCTGCTCACTGTCCACCTCGGCTCCAACCACACACAGTGTGACAGTAACCAGACCCTCCCATCTCTAGTGATGTCAGAGCTCCATCACTCTGAGTTCAGTCGGCTCACAACACAGTCATGATCCCAGCTGCTGTCATAAAGCTCTCTGCAGCTCTGCTCTGGCTTGGAGGTACGTCACGGACTTCACGTCCATCTTTATGTCGCTATTGGTCTCGGTTTTTGTTGGATTTTCTGTAACATGATGTGATATCTGACTGCTGCAGGTCCAACAGACGGCAGTGATGTCACTCAGACTCCTCTGCTGTGGGCCAACCAGAGTCAGTCTGCCACCATCAACTGCACGCACTCTAAAAATTTTGATTTTGACCAGATGTACTGGTACCAGCAGCTGCCGGGTCAGAACATGAAGCAAATAGTTTTCACCACATCGTACAGCCCTGCACAGTATGAAGAAGGCTTCAGCAAGGAGAAGTTTGAAGCAGAGAAGAAAGACGCT